CATTCGAGGAAGGCGCAAATACTGATTTATTAACAATTTCAATTGGGAGGGGATGCTAAATTGGGAGTTTGATCGTAACGTTCGTACAGCCGCTTTGCAGTGGATTCGTTCGTTCGTTCTTTTTTTTTTTTCGTATTTCTTCTGCTTCTGCTAGTAACAAAATTGCATAAATCTTGGCGCTTGGCATTCGTGTTCTTTTTTTTTAGATTACTCAAATAACTGCTGAATAGATCAATATTCCAATATACATGTATACATATACATACATATATACATATAAAAATATCTATATATATATACATATATCTATATATGTACATAATAATCGCAACAATACGTGCAAAATCAATATCTTCAAGCGTTAGAATGGATCTCAATGGTAACTGAAAATTTGGTCCTACGCTCTGAATGTTATCTTTGTGGTGGGGCGCTTGATTTCTTCCTTTATCATTTCGAGCTGTTTGGACTACTACAAATACTTCCAGTTTTTAGGTGTTGTGTTGTGTTGTGTGTTGTGGCGGCCTCCGGCTTAGTATTCAATGATTTTTCTCTGACTTTTTTCTCTGTAGCTCCAAGTAGACGGTGCGCGGCGAGACAATCTGATCGCCAGCATCCTTAACTTGAATGATCTCCTCCTGCTCCTCCTCGTAGTGGGAAGTGCGGCGTACGAATACTTTCATGCCTGACATGCCGCTGCCACTGTCGTTGCCATTGCCATCCGACTGGGCACGGGTGGTGCTCTCCGTCTTCTCGCCCTCGGAGTCAGAGTCGTTATTTGGCGAGTCCTGCGAAGACTGCTCCATATTGGCCATAAAGGTCTCCACATGCACATAGTCGCTGTTCTTCACCTCGCGTCCGTGCGGCGAATCCATTGATTGCTTCGATTTGTGACGCTTCTTGGCCGACTTACCATTAATCTTGCGCTCCAGCTCAGCCATGTACAAGGCCATCTGACTGTTGCCTATCTCGCCGTACTGTTTCTTGATCTTGGCACTATTCTTGTGGCTATCGTTGCGCACACCATCCCCAATGTACTCGGGCTCATAGTGGGAGTTGCTGTGCTGCTTCTGCATCATCTCCTGGTGCTCATAGTACTCGATCTCCTCACGGCTCTCGTAGCGCTCGCGCTCCATTTGCTGCTCATTGACCAGACAGCTGTCGCCAATGTCCACCTCGAACTGGACATTCGGATTGAGCTTGAACTGCAAGAGGCATGGGAAGTGATCAACAAATATTTGATTGGCTTATTTATCAGGTCTTACATCACGCTCGTTGGCAAACTCGTGATCCGATTTGGATTCACGTTTCTTGGCTTCCTTGGCACATGCCTCCACATACTTCATCTCGCTGCGCACCTTGCGCACCTGCAGCTGCTGACGCAACTGTGGATTATCGGCCATGGCTTGATATGCCTGCTGCTGCTCTTCATCGTCTTCGTCCTCCTCTTCATCCTCCACGTCCACCTCCAGATCCTCGGGCGACAACTCCAGATGGTGTTGGAGCTGTTGTTGTTGCTGTTGCTGCTGCTGCTTCTGTTGCTTCCGTAGAGTTGCGTTGGCGCTGCGTGGCGTGGAGTCCGAACTGGTGACAGCGCTATTGACCAGCGGCCCGGAGGGAGTGACCAGTTGGGGCCCATTCTTATAGCTGCTGAGCAGACGAGGACTACAGGAATTAAGGCTGCATGGACTAAGTATTCGATGTTAAGTTACGTTTTGTTGAAGGACTGCATGTAGTCGTTCTTCACTAGCACATAGCCCTTGGGCAGAGCTGTGGCCTCGACCACCTTCTCCGGCAACGGCGGTGGTGGAATCAACGGAGCCGATGCGCCCTGGCCCATGGACATCAGCTGATGGTTGAGCTTCTCATTGAGCTTCTCGGCCTTCTTGCGCAACGTGCGCTCCAAGGACAACTGCTCCTCCAGCGTCTTGGTGTGCGCGAGCAGCTGGGAGATGCTGTACTTCTGGGTCTTCGGCAGGCTCTGCAGGCCATTGATGCAGCTCAGGTCGTACTTCGGCTCGTTCATCTTCTCCTCGTCCTCCTTGCCAAAATGATCGCGTATCTGGCGCATGAGGAACTTGCTAATGCCAGGATTGTGGCGCACATTGAACTCGGTGATGGCGCTGTTCAGACTGAGGCACTCGAGGATTATGTTCGCACCACAGTCGGTCAGGCCGCAGTTCTCCATATCGACGGCTGGATGAATGTGCTCAGATTCAGAGTTGATTGCAAATTAACTCAGTCTACTCACTCTTGACCCAGGCATCCTCCTTGAGCACCTCGGCTATTGGCCGCACTCCATTGTCGCCCAAGTCCGGATTGTTGGCCACCGCAATGTAGCGTAGACCCGCGATCGAATCAACATCGACGCTGCGATATCGCAGCGACTTCTCCCAGCCCTCGGAGTACCGCGTTATCTTTTGCATCTGCAAAGACTTGGTTAGCCCACCCAGCCCAGCTCAGATCTGAAGCCAATCACACAGACGTACCTTAATCATATCAGCAACATAGTCGGCGCCCTTTGAGCTAATATTGCACTCGGAGATGTTGAATATCTCCACGTGATTCAAGTACTTGACGGTGCTGCAAATCGCCTCACAGCCCTTGTCGCCAATGTAAGATTTCTGGAAGCTGACCTCCTTGAGGCAGTCATTGGAGGCTAAAGCCTATTAGAGCAGTTAAACGGTGGTGTAATATTAACGTGGATAACATAGATTACATAGATATTATACATATGCAAGTTCATTAGATCTCAAAGATCGGACACTGGAAATCATAGGACAGTTCCTTACCTTGGCAATGCACTCAATGTAGCCATCCTGCAGCGGCAGACCCTCAAGTTTCAACACGGTGAGATTCTTGTTGAGCTTTACACAATTGGAGATCGCATCGACTAGACTGTTAAAAATGAAACGCGTATATATGACCGGCTTTTGACGGAAGAGCCGTGCACGGTTTTCAGTGTCAATTGGTAAAACAATATCTATTCAAAATATATTAATATATATTATATCTATATACATATTATTGTTGCAGACAGCACTCACTGTTTCCATTGGTGCGGCGCATGCGTATTGCCAATGTCTGTAGCACTAGATCATAGTGCAGTGCCTCGATAATCAGTAGCCATTCGCTGACGCCCAGCTTATCACCCAGCAAATCGAGAAATGTGGTTGCATTCGGATTGGAGCGTATGTCTGGCACCGGTGTCAAGTTCTTGGCACGGCACAGCTCTAAATAACGGAAATGAAAGGAACGGCTCTTGCTCGATTTCTTTACCAGCGGAGGGACCGTTATCACCACACTGTTTCTCTTTTTAGTCTCGCGTCCACGTGCAAAAAGAGACATGTTCTAACATTAAAGAAGAAAGCGAAGGCCAAAGAAACGTCAATTAATTATTTTAAACAGAAGGTGAAAAAGTTATACAATTTTGTTTATCTTGGTTTCATAAATCAAAGTTGATCTCAAAAAGTCATTATTTTATTGTCACGCAAATCCATTAAGAACTTTAACCTTCATGCATAGTTATGTAAACTTAACGCACTTCCGTTTTAAACTTTTTGAACTTCCAACCGCCATCTCTTCCAGCCTTCCACTGAGCTCTCCCGCATTTGCGAATTGTAAACAAACCCACCCCTCTGCGCCTTTAATACAAAACACGCAATGCGCTCGCTCACAGCGCTGGAATTCACGCTTCGTTAATTACTCGCGTGCCCGCACAGTGCAGCCGCATCGTTCGGCTATTTTCGCTGCCGACGCAGACGCAGACGCCGACGCCACTTTGCAGTACGGTGACAACGGCGTCGACGCGACGTCGACAGCGATGTTTCAATTCCCATACAGCACACGCCGGCAGACGCAGCCGCCTGAGCCTGGCCTGCAGTCAGTCGTAGAGCGACAGTTGAGCAAAGCGTTTCGGTTGCCGCTGCGCTGGCTAAATTTCAATAAACGGTAAACAGTTTCGAAAGTGCAATTCCGAATTGCTCGTGTTTTCGTGAGTGTGTGCAGACGAAAGGCAATAAAAAGTGAAGATCGCTTAGAACCTTTTTGTTTTCAGCACGTTCCCGTGGCGTCATGAAATGCCATTAAAGTGAAGTTTCTTGAACAAGTTCCACGAGTGACGGCGTCCCATAAAAGTTCCGCTTCGTGCATTGCCCAATTGCGGCGACACGTTCTTATTGTGCTCTATTTTATGTGCGCGTGTGAGTATGTGCGAGACTTTTGACATCTGCCCAATCGCCAGAGACGTCGTGTGCTGTACTTAAGCCCTGGCGGAGGGTTCGGCAA